AGATACAGAGCTTCTTTATCTATTAATATGTAATTTTTAAGGCCCGACACAGGCCTATAACTGTGACCTATCAGATTCTTATTTCTTTTTCTTTCCTCTTTCGTCTTTGTATTTGTTTTTTAGTTTTAGTTTTCTTTTTTTAGTATCTCTCCTTTAGTATTAGTGTTAGTGTTAGTAAAATTTTTTTTTCTTTCCACTTCTCTACGAGAAGATGTCATCAGATTGGTGATATCCTATTGTAGAGCGGTGGTCTGATAGTGTTCATCTGAGAGAGATAGTGTTTTTATTTTGAAACTTATCGTGATATATTCATAGCGATGTATCTGCTCAGTGTGGCCGATCACTTGTAAGTGCTTTCGAAGTAACTGCGGGATGCTACTTCTAAATATTATGCGAAAGCCTTTTGTAATACCATATAATTATAAAGTAATAAAGGAGACTAAAGGCAAGATGGCCTAAGTGGAAAAAAAATACTATTACTATATGTAGTATTTGTAATTCACAATCTGATCTTTTTTTAAAAACTCTTTATTCTAATTTTATATTGTATTTAAGCTTTTATAGAGTTTCATTTTCAATTTATAGTTTCTATAGATTATAAAAGCAACTTTTTCAACTTGCTTCTAGCTTAACTCAAATTGTTAATCTAGTTTGTATAAGTTTGAAAGCTTAACTGTTAAGCTATAGAACCCAAACTCTTTGCACTTTTTATTAATATATTTTACAAACTAAAAATATTTTAAAAAGATAAAACTTATAAATAAACTATTATTATAAATTTTTAAAATCAAATTAGTTAGTCTATTGCTTTTTTTTGCTATAGAGAGTTCTATATATAATAAGATTAAATTATATAATTACTTATTTTATTATATAATTTCAAAGTTATTTATATTTACTATATAATTAAGATAATTTCTATTTGTACACTAGTATATAAAACATGGATATATAGAAAGCCAATCAGGTTACATGATCAGATATAACGTTAAATTATTGCTTTCTTTAAAAAATCATTTATAACTCAAAATTTTGCTTATGAAATCATCTTTTTAGTATTAATTAAAAAAATTCCTTGCAAAATTTTGATATAAGTTATTTACTCTGCCTTGTTCCAAGCCTACCCTTACCTAACTTTAGATAGTGTTTAACTTTTTGTTTATTCAAACTGTTTTGATTTACATGTAACACAGATAGTGATGTGAGTTTTCCCAAATATTTATGCATTCTACTGGTATCTACCGTTAGATAGTAGCTACCACTACTAGTAGATTTATATTTATATAATTAATGTTTAATACTGGGCTAAATTAAATTTTTCTAGCTTTTATATTTAGATATTTTAATATTATAATAGTATGAATTTTAAACTTTATACTTTATTATACTATCAAACTAATAATATACTAATGTAAAGAAATTTATATATAAAGGCCCAAAAATGAAATGGATAAGGGCCCAAAATAAAATTATTATATATAGCAATTTAAAAACAAAAATTATTACAAATAAGAGCCTGTCTAATTTTCAAACTATGTTAGATAATTAGCCACAAGACTTATATAGTGTTGCTTAGAAAAAATAGTAACTAGATGTTTTGCTAGCACACATAACTTCAAAAGCTGATTACTATGTAAGGTTATATTTATCATACTTAATAATAAATATCAGAACTTTGATTTTTATTTTGATCTTTGTTTTAACTTTCAGTTGGTCTTCCTTTTAACTTCATTTTAATCTTTACTTTGATTTTCATTTTGACTTAGACTTTCCTTTGACTTTCGTTTTGACACTCACTTTGACTTTGCTTTAATATTCATTTTGACTAACTTTCACTTTGACTTTTTATTGTTTTAATTTTTGCTTTAACTTTTATTTTGCTTTTTATAATAACTTTTGCTTTGGCTTTCATTTAACTTTGACTTGCTTTTTGACTTGCACTTTTTTTCGAACATTTTTGCTAAGTTGAATTTACAAAATATAACAAGCTGTTTAAGTTTGTGAATACTTTATACTTCTAATTTATTAATGCTAATTTAGCTAGTAATACTAAGATTTAAATATTCAAATAACTACATATATTATATCTTTTTATTCGTATTATTTAGTTATGTATACAGATCTTTTAATCAATCGTTAAAATTTGTAAAGTTATAAATTTGTTAGTAAGATTCGTAAGTAGTACCTTTAGTTGTATCGTATAGTAAAGTTTAGTTTTATTTTTAATTAAAATAACAGCAAATTTGTTTGCTAAATAATATAAAATATAAAAAAATCATATTTAAAAATCAAAATATAACTATAATAATTATATTTAATATAGTTAAATCTATTCTATTCACTATCATAAAAAACTTCATCATCAGAATCTTCCCAATTAGCTTCATCATCTATTTCTTGTTCAACATCTGATAATCAAATTGATTCATTTTCAGCATTATCTTTGTTATTATTAGTACTTTCATTTTTATAAATAACCTAGAGATTCTAATAAATATATACTAACTCTTCAAGATGTTTATTTGTTAAACGATTTCACTTCTTAGTATGTATATGAGAGTATGCTGACCAGTTACGTTCAGAACTTGCAGAAAATGTTGGCATAACAAAAATTCGAACACAAAATAATTGAAGGAATTGAAACCCAAATCCATATGCTATACAATAAATATTATTTAATTTAATTGTTTTATTAAAATTAATTTATTTTAATACATACCCTTCCACCATTCACGAGGATGCAATTCTTTTACAGCTTCTTGTAATATAATATTAGTATCAAGACGAGTTACAAGTTCTCCATATTCTCTATATAATCCAGCATATATTTCTTTTTCAGACTTAGAAACAAAATTACTAATATATGGCGTAACTTCTTGAAATAGTTGAGTTAATATATAAGCTGTAGGACAAAAATGATAATGTAGATAGAAATGGCCATCAAAAAGATATGCTAATTGCATTATAGGATTTTGCATATAATTAAATCGTTCAGTAATAATAGTTATTACAGAATCCTGAATAGGACTTTTAATATCACATTCTAAATTTTTTAAATCAATCATTTTTTTATAAACAAGAGATAAAGTAGCTAAATCATTTTTAAATTTATTAATATCATATATATATATAAAATAAAAGTTAGAAAAAATCTTAAAAAAAATAAATTATTAATTATATTTACATTTTACAATAGGTCGTAATACCTCAGCTAAAATTGAAATATTATCCCAATTGTCTTTATCAGCAATTAAAATTCTAATTTGATGATCTTGTTGAGTTCGATTAGGTAACTGGTTATTTTTAATATACTCTAAATAATAAGTATTTTAATATTAAGATATTTAAATATATTCTTAATATTTATATATACAACCTGAATACTGCTTTTTGATTCTAATAACTTTTCAAGTACTTTTAATTGCAATCTTCATCTTGTTTTTACAGAATTTACTAATGTAATAGTTTTATTTATTTCTTGTTTTTGAGTTTTATGAAGGTAGGCTTTTACTACTTAATGAGAATTAAAATAATTAGTAATTTTATTTGCTATTTCTAATATATCACATGCCCATTGTAAATTATCATCAATAGGATTAGATTTTTTAAAAATATCTGAAATAATTAAGTTTGTTAAATGTGTGGCACATCATAAAAAAGTATAGAAAGAAAATCTGTACGAGAATATTCCAAGCTGCACACATATTAGATGCATTATCAGTTACAACTGAAACTACAAAATTTTCCTTAAATTCTAAAATAATTTTTCAAATTCCTTCTGCAATATATTCACCCGTATGAGAATGAGTTTTTGTTTTTATTGATTTAAAAAAAATTGGTCCCTTTGTTATTAAAGTCATATAATTAATAATTGATTCATTGTTCTGATTAGACCATCCATCTGTTGAAATAGAAATAAATTTTTTCTTTGAATAAATTTTTTCAATTTTTTCTTTAACTTCTTTATATTCATCTCTTAGCAAATTATTACTAAGTGACCAACGAGATGGTGGATTATAAGTAGGTCGAAGTGATTTTAAACCTACAATAACGAAATTATTTTCAATTAAGGTATGTAGAATACCATCTGCATAAAATACGCATGCAATTTTTTTATCAATAGCTTTTTGTTCAATAAAACTTAATTGACGTAATAAATAAGAATCAATTGGCAAGTTTGATTTTTCTTGAGTAATGGTAGTAGATGAAGTTATAGGCTCATTTTGATTTGAAATCAAAAAATATTATATTTTTAACAAGAATTTAAATGTGCCTGAAGATGTTGTGCTTGGCCTGATAGTTTATGATTACAATACATATATTCTGCTCCTGGATGTCCTTTTGATGTATTTGGTGGATATTTTATAAATTCTTTTCAAGCAGAATCAGTCATTTTAAAAAGAGATGTTTAAATAATTCAAATTTAAAAAAAATTTGATTGATCCAATTAATGCTTCTTTTATAGTATTCCTAAAACTTTATAATGTTATTTAAATTTAGCTTTAAAATAGTATAGTTTTTTAATATAATCAAATTGATATTATAAT